CCCCCCCCTCCCCAGCTAACTAAGCCATGGTGTTTGCACATGGCTGGCTTTCTGAGTAGTTTTCAGTACCCCTGATAAAAAGGAAGTAATGTCTGGTTGATATTGTATTCTAAGTGTATGCCAATTGATATTATATGGAAACATGTCAAACTTTTTTTTTGCAAGTTTAGCTAAATTGATAAAATTCAAGAGTTTTTCAAGTGCCCTAGAAAATGTGGATTAGATTCAAGGAGTTTAATTAAGGAGTAGCCACACCCTGAAGAATTGATCCTTACCTGTTTATGGGCAGCATCTCTGACATTCAGTAGTTTACCCCTTAGGGGGAAGACACCATAATGATCCCTGCCTACAACACTCAGTCCACTAATAGCCAGGGTCTTGGCTGAATCCCCCTCAGTGAGAATCAGGGTACATTGACGGGAGTTTTTGCCACCAGCATCATTAGCATCATCAAGTTTAGGGATTCCCTTTATCTTGCTTTGCTTTTGACTGCTACACTTCTTGTTCAGTTGAGCCTGAGACATGTAGTATCATTAGTACAGTTGTTTTTAAAGTCACATAATCACACACAGTAGCTGGGTATACCATAAGGGAGTGACTCCCTCTTGAAATGCAAGTCCCCCTTTTGACAAGACAGTTGACGATATAATGGAAATACTTTATTACTTGTCCAGTTAACAGGAAATCCCTGTGTGACTAAATGATTCTAAACATGGCCGGCCCACCAAAGCAAGGGTTACTTTTTTTCTTCTCAGTGCAACCACCCTCACCACCTCTGGTACTCTCACAATGGTATTGGCTCAGAGTATACACTTTTCCGATTAGAAATGTAATAGACCCCTTGCAGCACTTTGGAATGAAGCTCAATCGGGGGGACAAAACAATAGGTTCCAATTCTAAGGAGATTGGAATTATTTTGTTTTGTCCCCCAGATGGAGCTGCTTTGACATGACATGCAAGGGGTCTATAAGGATTGTATTTATACTGTGTAAACTGTTACTAAAACCTGTTACTTTTAGTTCTAAGTCATGCAACTGTAAATTCTATTGCCTTTTCTATACCTTTTCTTTGAATTTCATCCAGTTAAGAACATTCTCCAGCACTCCACATGATTGCACCTGTTTTAATAAAAGTAGAAGTCTGATTGCCTGGTGTTTAATATGTAATATTTAAACAGCTTTCACTCTTTACACATCCAGTTGCTCTAAAACAAAATGTCAGCCAATCAGAATCAAGAAAATTTGCAAACTGAGGTGTCACTTTTCCTCTTCAAATTATGGATTTCCAGGCCACCAAATAAGAAAAAAAGTTGCTAATGAGAGGTTGATGCACATTATGGTGGACAGTTTTTTGTTTTTAGCTAACTTTTCACAGGCTTCATGACACCTCAGTTTTGCAGTGACATCATTTCTATGTCACTATTTCAGTATTTTACATTACAAACAAACAAAAAACTATTCCTTTCAATTTAGAATGGAAATCAATAAGGAAGTAGAAGAAAAACTTAATTGGAGATTCAATTATTCAGAGTGTTGAGCCCATAGTTTTCTGGGCCCCATTGTATTGTATGAAGGGTGAATAGCGCTATCCGACAGATAAACCGTTATCCAGTGGATAAGTCAATGCTGTTATCCAATAAATTTATCCAGTGGATAAGATTTATCCATTGGATAGCACTATACGCCCTTTGTACAACTGGGACCAGTATTCTAGTTGGATGCTCTACCACTTACACGTAGATACAGGGGTAACCAGTCATTTCGCCCACGGACCATTTCGCCCACGCATAAAATCATCGATCATGCGTTTGCCAATTCGCCCACGTGTAGAATCACTTTAAGAAATATGTTACCATGACTTAAAAAAAGTAGTTCGGGATTTACCAACCTTACTTGACGCTTAGGCTCAAGACTTCAAAACGCGAACTTTTCATACGAATACCGGTCGTCTCGATACCACGCACTTTCGCTACCACCCGGAGTCCTTTCGCTACCATCATGAAGTTCTTTCGCTACCATAGGAAATTACCAAAACAAAACTTCGATGAGACTTGTTAAAAAGAAACATAGCCTCTTGAAAAACATTTGTAAATGATTTTGAAGCATATTTGGAGCGATCATTTCACGATACGATCAGTGAAAGTGAAGATCTAAACGCGACCAAGGACAGCCTTCACTTAAGATACCATATCGAGTCCGTTTCTACCAACTTATGACYCGGATGACTTTATTTCCCCATACTCTAATCTATGAAATGTGTGCTTTGGGTAGCTTTATCATTCTTTATCATTTTTTAACTTGCCAAAGTTCGAGAAAAATACAAAATACCTTATGCGCGAAACATCGATCGACAAGCGACGCCATATTGTTTTCGTGTAATCAACAAGCTTTTCCTAGTCGTTTACTGACGCTTTCTTTTCTTGAAATCCATTAGACTTTATTATTTGCACTAAAAAACTAAGACGAAATGATCTAGTGACTTTATCTGGAATAAATTTGAGGCCATTTAATGTCTGATGTGAACGCCAAAAACTTAACGATTGAGTGGAACGATCGAGCTCAGTTTACGGTGTTTCATAGGCCGGAGTCTTTTGGATACCAATAAGTTTTTAGTCTCCGTAGAGTAGTTTGTTGAAAACATTACAATATCCTTCTTCTTCATCGAAAAATCGAATGTTTAGGACATATTTAATATTATTGCTTCTGACTTGCCAAGATTAGAGCGAGAAAAACCAAAATACCTTCCGCGAAACATCGATCGACAAACGACGCCATATTGTTTTCGTGAGCTTGTCTAAAAGCTTGTCTAATATCTTTTTGTAGATGTCAGATTCAGCAACACACGACATCTCCCATCTCAAAGCACCATATCTTTTCCTTTAACTTTATTAGTGAAAGGAATAAAGTCTAATGGATTCTAGGTAAAGAAAGCGTCAGTAAACGACTAGGAAAAGCTTGTTGATTACACGAAAACAATATGGCGTCGCTTGTCGATCGATGTTTCGCGCATAAGGTATTTTGTATTTTTCTCGAACTTTGGCAAGTTAAAAAATGATAAAGAATGATAAAGCTACCCAAAGCACACATTTCATAGATTAGAGTATGGGGAAATAAAGTCATCCGAGTCATAAGTTGGTAGAAACGGACTCGATATGGTATCTTAAGTGAAGGCTGTCCTTGGTCGCGTTTAGATCTCCACTTTCACTGATCGTATCGTGAAATGATCGCTCCAAATATGCTTCAAAATCATATACAAATGTCTTTCAAGAGACTATGTTTCTTTTTAACAAGTCTCATCGAAGTTTTGTTTTGGTAATTTCCAATGGTAGGGATGATTTTATGYGTGGGCGAATTGGCGTGGGCGAAATGACTGTAAACCGATACAGGGGAGTCTTGGTGTTCAAATGCAATACTGGGTTCATTAYTTCCATTTTTCAACCTTAGGAAAAGGTATTAGAGAGTACTGTAGCTAAATACAAGATCATTATCACAAAACAATCTGAAGAGACTCACTGCTTTAAGGAACTTGTCAGTCAGTTCACACTTGGATCCAAAGTCCTTGGGTCTTAGTGTCATATTTTCCTTGGTTTGAGAGTCAAAGGAAGGATTCTCAATCAAACAGTTAATGAACACCCACATGTGGCTCTTAATCTGGAACGGTTTGACTTGGATTCCTCCCTTGTTTTTCCTCTTGATAGCTGCCATCATCTTGTCTACTATTTGATCTGTCACATAGTTGACATGAGTTCCTCCCTGTAAAGGAGTACAAAAATATTGATTGAGTAGAATATAATAGCAGAAATCACAAGAAGATGTACCAATTTTGGCACTTTGATAATTATTTGAGCAAGGAACAAAGCAATAATATTGTAATAATTATGTTTTGCAATAAAAGACCTTATGTAGAAAAGTATGCAAATATAGTATCAGTTGAAATATAATCATCGTAAATCTGTATTTTTTTTGGTTGAGCCAATTGCCTTTTAAAAGAGAGTTTCAAACTATTACCAGGTTACGTCAGCTCATTCTATTGCAATATAGTCATTACCTTTGTTGTGGCAATACTATTCACAAAACTGGAATGCTGGAATCCTTTATCGCTAACTGTAACACAAACTTCCCATCTATTGTTTATAATTTCATGAACAACTTTGGGTTTTCCATCTTCTCCTACTCCATCTTCAATTCTCTCTTTTTCTGCTCCTTTGAGACAAAGCTCTACGTAATCCTTAAATGATTTGACCTGTAAATCAATGTCATCCTTAGATTAGAACAACACCATGACCTCTCCCTAGGAATGCAGCTTTTACAAGTTTCTATTATTGCTGATGCTTTTCTTTTATGGGAGGCACAGTGGCATGCACTTCTATGATCTTCCTCTCACTTAGTGGAGTTTGATTCTAGGACTGCATGTTCAGGGCGTTTCGTTTGTAGTTTTTTCTTGCCACCAGGGGTTTTCCCTGAGTTATCATGCATTTCCTCCTTCCGTAAAAAACATGTGAGTTAAGCGTTGTAAATAGTGAACTGTTGTGAATAGTGTATTGAAGTGGTAGAGTGTGTGAAGGAAACCTCTAGGAAGAGCCCCTTACAGGGATTGATGGTTGTAAAATAAAAGCCATGTTTTTTATTACGATTCTTTTCTTTTGGGGGTGGGGAGCTTATGACCAGCTCATGAATAATGAAAAAAACCCCATCATTTTATAGGTGGTGTGCATTACTTTCCTTGAGAAAAAAAACTGGCTGCCATAATAACAACTAAAGAAACAAAGACCAAAGCTTTTGCTCAAGTCAAACAGCCTGCCCTCTATTACATTACATACAATGTTAGAACAACCAAATATCAGGAAGGTTTTCTAGTAATAAATATCAGTTATCTTTATATCCAATACCTTTAACTTTTGTCCATTGAGATAGACAGTTACACCCCGGACAGAAGCAGCAATATCATAAGCACGTCTTGTTAACAAAGAGACAGTATCCCTGTCCAAGGTCTCCATCTTGAATTTCTTCAGGTCAGGATGGAAGGATATACAAGTGTAATCCTTGATTGATGACTGCTCCTTGATGACAGGCTCACCTGCTTTCCCCATATTGTTTTGCCACACCTTATAATAATTGAAAATAAATAGTTGTTATGACTGTATGTATGGTGAAACAACTTCCAGATACTAAGGTGGATCCAAGACAAAAAGCAGTCGTCTAAAGTATTTTTACTTTTTCTTCATGACAAGATTTGTTGTCCAAACCTTTTATTTCAGGTTAAATCATTGAGAAAATATTTTTTGCTTCATTTTTGCATTTTTCATGAGTGATAGGACCTGGAAATATGTTACAACTTAAAGCTCTATAGAGGAAAAAATTCATGCATAATATATAGTATAATAAATATCACAAGCACTGGAATTCTAAACTAAGAAATGCAGTCACAGTAAGCAATATCCAGTATTCTTTCAAACTACCAGTGTTGCAAGGTAACAGATATGTTTTTATTTAAATACCTGTTTAAATTTCTTTTTAGAGTCTGAGCAAGCAGTTTCTACACTAAATTTGGTGCTAAAAATGTTGCAGAGTTTAGCTCCATATCCATTACGGCCACCAGTGACCTTCTTCTGTTTATCATCATAGTTACTTGACGTCAGTAGCTGACCAAAAATTAATGTCGGAACATAGACATTATGTTCTTTATGCAACTCTATTGGGATTCCCCTTCCGTCATTCCAGATACTGATGAAATTGCTATCACTGTTGAACAAAAAGCATTGATTAAAGCAAATTGTACACCAACTGACTGCAAAACCAAACCTACATACAACAACTAAATTCAAACCAATTTACATGCCTCCAGTACAACAAGATAATTTCATCATATTTCCCCCCCTGAATTAAGATACCAACGGTGCATCGATTAGTTCCCCAGAGAGCCAAGTTAAATTTGATGAGCAGTTAAGCTGCATGGGACCTCATTACAGACTCGTACGGACTACATGCATAAATTAGGATCCAACGCATACAAACAGATTTCGTGCACTAAGTATGTGTGCGACACACAGAGTTGGCCCTGAAAAACGCCTGGCCTGTACTGTATAACTAAAATACATTTTAATTACCAGACAGTAAATTAAACCTTTATTTAAAAAAAAGTAGCAAGATGTTTATTTACATACGGTTTAATGTCAATCTTGATCACACTCATGTTAGGATCCCTTTGTTTATTGTCTGCAGCATTGACTGTAATGAAACAGAAGTATTATGTGTAATTATAAAATAACTGTTATAAATCTTGTGTTCTGAATGATTGGGAGCATGTTTATTATGAGAGCATGCAGCACATTTTCTATTTCATCATTCGTATTTGAAATAACAGCTCCTCTAGTTTGTATCTTATGGGATTGGCAGAACACTTGAAATGTATTAAAAATCACTCAGTGTTGTGCTTGTCCTACATTTCTACAAATTTTTCAATTTTTAGCACATCTGACAACTATTTGACAAGTTTTAATTGTGCGCTTTACTGCTAACCAATATGTCTTGGTGCTTCACTTTAATGTTTTGATATCGTTACATCGATGTACAAACTCTGACTATTGAAACATCAAGATGAAGCGCTGATGTCTAATTTATTGGTTAGCAATACAGAGCACAATTAAAACATGTCTAAAAGTTGTCAAAAAGAAATCAAAAACTTGTAGAAGTGTTCACCATAYGGTGAATAGCACAGTAATGATGTGTTTTAGTGCTTTACTGCAATATAACTTCACACAACATGCACACACATTTTCTATTTCTTCACTATTTTTTCACTATATTTTTTCCCGAGTCCACACTTTTACATGAAAATAATAGTAAGTAAAGGTAAGTAAATATTTCCCAACTCTAATGACTTCTGTCCCAATAGACCTTTTCGGCTTGGGCATAATATTTTCCCATTTCAGATCATGTGTCAATCTCTTGAGAATAAGATTCTTTTTTTGAGTTATATTTTATATTTATGTATTCTCACGTACAACTGCTAAACAAAGAAATAATACTCTAGGGAATAACCTTGGTTTGAAATGGACAAACATTACGCCCAGGCCGAAAAGGTCTATTCACTCCATTATGCTGTCATTACAGCTACTGTTACATCAACTTTACCTAATATCTCATCAAATATTTTGTAAAGTCCAGGAACATAGGTGATCTCCTTGCTAACGATTGCTTCCAAGACATCATCATACACCCACATGGTCTGCTTCAAAGGTTCTACTGAGCCAACATATGTATCTGGACGGAGCAAAATGTGCTCCAACTGGGTCTTCTTTTGATAGATACGTTCTACTGATAACCTCTTCTTTTTGGAAGCATTCTTTTTAGGAGAGTTGGTGTTTTTCTCCTACAAGAAAAAAGAATACTTTGTATCTTGTACTCAAAGCCATACGAATTTCTACAGACATATGACAGTGTGATGGTGGTAATAAATTGYTGTGATACTTCACTATACTTCAAGAAAATTTTTCTAAACTTCCGAAAGAAGCTGATTCGAATTGTTATGGATGTGAGAGATTAGTTGGATAGTATCATATTTTTGGGCACTCATTTCCATACCAATTAGCTAAATAAAATTTTCAAGGTTTAGATGGAAAGGGGGAATGCACACCCAGACAACAGTCACTTTACTTTCAGGGAGTTAGCATAATTGTCTTGCAAGATTAAAGTGCTACTACGACGAAAATCGCTCAAACTTGGATTCAGCTGAAATTTCCTAAAAATACTCTTTAAAGGTCCAATAATCACTGTATGAAGTGTTTTCTCGATATTCAGTACGAAAGTATGATATTTTTACGATTATTTTTTGGAGTCTGTGACGTCATACACTCAACATCAAACATTGCTACATATATTTCTTTGTATATAAACCCTTAATTTATTTTATTCCTATGAAGCCCAAAAAGTGGCTAATGTGCTTATTTCACATTACTTGTGACTATAATTTATATTTTGGGGTGTTTGGGTATTTCTTTCTC